CACGTGGCGCAAGCCAGAAACCGCTGGGCCTGCGACATGCCCCGTGGCCCGGGGTGGGTGCTGGAAGCCTCCAAGCACCTAATCTATTAAGTGTCCACAACAATAGAATGCTAACGAACTGATAGCAGCTACATACTCTAAAGCTAAGGGATTGCTTCTCATACGAGAGCAAGAGGTTGTTCCAACGTCGCCACGGACGGTAAGAAGGAACTGGAAGGGGTCGGGCCAGCGGGGGGTATATATGCATGGCGCAGTGGTGCCACTCAGGCGGGGGCCCCGCCAGCCCGACGGGTACCGCTAAGGGAAAGTTTCCGACTTCCGTGCACGCAGCGCACGCACCTAATGTGGAATGGATGTGAAAAAGCACTCTAAGAACTTCTCCTTCAGAATTTTTGCTCTGCTGGGGAAATAGTCCTTTCCTGGACAGTGTTTGTGTTGACAGCAACAAACATATTGCTATGCTAGCTATGAAGTGAGGGTTGAGGATTCTCTGCATTCCTAGCAACTAATTCCTCTGTTTCTCCAAACAGCTGCTCCCCTGCAAGTATCTGTTTAGGATGACTGATTGCTATTCACATGTGTCACAGCTTCCTTGTAACTACCACATTAGAAACCAGTGCGCTTCTCACATCACATTGGGGTTTGACCAAGACAAAACCAGAGATGTTTCACTCCAGGCAAAAATAATACCCCTAGATGATGTAGCATTTGCATGCCACCTAGTAGGCTTCCCTTACTAAAATACTGAAGATTTTTTGGTCTGAATGGATATAGCTGAGAGTTTGAAATTATTGTTCAATGTCTTTTGGAAGTAAGTCCCCTTCTGAAAGCATGACTGTCTAACTGATGGAGCTACTGCTGCACCAAGCTTTGGAAATTTGTTTTTACACAGTTCAGTTTAACATTTGGATTTAATCAGAAGTCCTCCTTCAGATCTTAAGATGTCCCAAAAGAGGCTTCCATGGGAAACTGTGCATCTAATAATGCATGAAATGGAATATATTTTATTAATGAGTTCCTTGCAAGCAACTGGCATCCTGTCCTGCAAAGTCCTGCAGGCTTTTTGTTTTTTGGTGCGGGTGGTGTTTGATGGCACACGTGTAGTATTTGCTCATGTTATTCACAGAGGGAGGTAGCATGCTATTCATCCTGGCCTGAGGATCACTCCGAGGAAGGGTATTGGTACAAATAACTTAATTTAATTGTGAAAGTAACTTGTTAGAGGTCCCTAGAAGCCTGAAAGGTTGCCTGCTTGCTTCTCCACTCTGGCTAGTACCCAAGGAGCGACCTAATACAATTTGGGGCTTTGTTCTGTAAATCAGGAGTTGTTTTGAACACTGGAGGAGATTTCTCATTTACAGCTTCATGGAGAGTGGAATCCTCATATGGCTCTGGTCTGGTCAGTCAGCCTGAAATGTCCCTTACACTTTAATGTGGAGCCAGCCTGTGAAACAGGGGAGGAGTAGAGAGAGACCCATTCCTGCCTCTTAGACTCTGCGCCTCTGTTCCTGGCTGATGAGCAGAAGGCACAACTCCCATTTTGCTGATGCCTGAAATCCAAGCCCCTTTTCCTGGCAGAGCAAGGGGCCCTGGGCTGAAAGCCAAACAGGTACAATTTCCATTACACTGCAGCCTCAGGGAGGGCTTCACAGGCACAGCAGTAACAGGCTTCTCTACATGCTTCTGAGTGGGGGAGGGGGGCTAGTGAGCTGAATATGAGCATTGAGAAATCTTCTGTGAGAAAAGCCCCCCAAAATACTCCTTCAGGGCAAGAAGGAAAAGGAGAAGGGGTCTAGCCCTGATTTTCATCCCACTGCGCACTCCGGTGGATCAAAGCAAGTTCGATATAACGCGGTTTCACCTATAACGTGGTAAGATGTTTTGGCTCCCGAGGACAGCGTTATATCGAGGTAGAGGTGTATCTGCTTTTGCCTTTTTGGGACCCAGAGATCTAAAGTTTGAGAGACTTACTCCATAGCATCATAAAAATCTCCTGGTTCACAGTGGGAGGAAGGGGAACTGTGCAGAAGCTCTTTTGTCAGGAAGCTCCGGACCCACTTCAGTATCTAGGGGGACTTTGGATCCTTTCAGGGGTTTGTACCCACTGACCTGGGACTGTTGCAGGATTTGCCCTTCAGGGAGCCAAAGTGTGTCCTTAGACTCCCTCAAAAAAACTCTCAGGAGTTCCTGAACAGGCTTTTCTGCACTGGATTCATGGCTCCTCAGGGCAGAGGAGAGGACCAGGCATGCTGGTCCAACTCCGAACCCTGTGCCCTAGCACTGCAAGGGTCATGTGGCTGTGAACAGGCAGGGCATAATTCACCCTCTATAGAGCCTGTAAATGCTGCCTCAGATTGAGAACACTGCTTAGATTTAGCCCAGTGTTGGCCGGATAGCTCTGCCATACATAGGGGGAAGAAGGGGTGAGGGACGGAAAGAGGAGTCCCAGAGAGGAAATGCTGCATTGGCAGAACCAGGTGATTGAAACTATCAGGCTGCCAAAAAACAGATCCAGGGGAGGAGGAAAATGAAGAAAGAGTATAGACATTACTGCACAAAAATGAAAGAATAAAATAGTCAAGAGACGCTGAACTGCCAATTTGTTATACCATCAAAGGCAGAAAAACTGGTGTCTTGAACTAAAGGGCAGTGCTTGTTGCTGAAGGCTCCAGCAACACGGGTCACTGCGTCCGAATTCTGTTGATTGGGAGCGTTAACCCAACTAGTGATGAATGAGGAGAAAAACTATGCAACATCTTGAAGACACTAATTCTGAATGGACAACTCATCAAGCCCAACTAAGGGCTGCAAGAGATCCCAACACCAACAGAATTGGCATAATTTCACTGTGCTGGGAAAGTAAGAAAGCAAACACTATGCATAGGCCTCCATTCACCTTACAAGCTGGAGCACACCTCTGAAGGGGGATTTGAGAATGGGTGGCATTGCATATGAGTGGCATAGCAAGGCATGGAGGCTAGAGGGGCTATGCAGGTGCTCCATGAACTGTTCCCATGGTTATAGAGACAGACACCCTATCTATAATATGCACAAGGACCAAGATTTTGCCCACTACCCACTAAATCTATCTAACCTCTGACTAAGGAAGTGTGGATTTAGCTCCTTCTGGAGAAAGTCAACATGAGGAGTAGGAAGACATCTTTCTGGAGCAAGATGAATGATGCTCCCATATCAAAGTATAGAAGGCCAAATCCCGAGCATCCAGTTTATGTTGAGTTTTGTCATCTGACAATCTGGCCCACAGTCTTTATAATACAGTGTCTCTCAACCTTTCCAGACTACTGTACCCCACCCCTTTCAGAAGTCTGATTTGTCTTGCATATCCCCAAGTTACACCTCACTTAAAAACTACATACTTGCTTACACAGACATAAAAATACAAAAGTGTCACAACACAGTTATTGAAAAATTGCTGACTTTCTCATTTCTACCATAGAATTATAAATTAAATCTATTGGCATATTAATATTGTACTTACATTTCAGCATATAGAGCAGTGTAAACAAGTCATTGTCTGTATTAAATTGTAGTTTGTACTGACTTCGCTAATGTTTCTTATGAAGCCTGTTGTAAAACTAGGCAAATATCTAGATGAACTGATGAAGGCCCCTGATTGAGAACCATTGTTATAATACACAACTCTTTGAAATGGGAAGCACACTCAAATTCATCCTTCAGCAGTGCAATGCTCCACATTGTGGAATAGGACTGATTCTCCCCCATTTTACACCATTCTTGTCCATGTAGAGTTTATCTACAAAGACTTACTGCTCAGCAAGCCAGGATATAAATCTACAATGCACCAGGTTGCCATACGGTAACTGGCTGTGTGGACACTGATACTGTATATCAGAGGTGGGCAAACTACGGCCCGTGGGACCATCCTGCCTGGCCCTGAGCTCCCGGCCAAGGAGGCTAGCCCCCTGCCCCAACCCTGCTGTCCCCCCACCCCTGCAGCCATGCTGCCGCGCGGGCAGCACTCCGGGCAGCGGAGCAGCGTGCTCCTGCCGAGCAGAGTGGCAGCATGTCTAGCTCTGGGCGGGCAGCACAGCTGCCAGACATGCTGCTCTGAGTGGCATGGTAAAGGGGCCGGGGGGGTTGGATAAGGGGCGGGGAGTCCTGAAGGGCAGTCAGGGGACAGGGAGCGGTTGGATGGGGCAGAGGTTCGGGTGGGGGGGCCAGTCAGGGGATGGGGAACAAGGGCAGTTGGATAAGTATGGGAGTGCCAGGGGGCCTGTCAGGGGGTGGGGGTGTGGATAGGGGTCCTGGAGGGGGCGGTTAGGGGACAGGGATAGGGGGTGGAGTCTTGGGGGGGGGGGTTAGGGGACAAGGAGCAGGGAGGGCTGGATGGTTCGGGGGGTCTGAGGGGGGCAGTCAGGAAGCGGGAAGTAGGAGGGGGCGGAGAGAGGGTGGGGGCCAGGCAGTTTGGGGAGGCACAGCCTTCCCTACCCAGCCCTCCATACAGTTTTGCAACCCCATATACTGTATACTATGGAACTTTTTCAAACAGCAGTAGGTCAAGGCACACTACAGAAATTTTAGTGTGCAAGTAGCAGGGTCCACATGGCCAGTTAGCATGCAGCAAGCTAGTGCACTGGACAGTGACACCCCCAGCTTGCTAGATTTATGTGGATTTATCTATTTCCTGCTTTTAACACCTTCAGTCATCATTTCCAAGACATTCAATTGAAAAGCAGCAGCAAAGAACTGAGTTTGTAGAAGTATAAGGGCTTGTGGGGGAAAAAACCAAGAACTACATAGATCATGATGAACTAGAACAGAACAGATTTCCTCTCAGGGCCTTTTGCCTGTAATTTGAAGCATTTGTGTGGTTAATTTTTAGGATAAGTTAATCAAAATGTGAACAATACTTACAAATGTGTGGGTCTCAAGCAGATATATATAGTAGCTATGGACATACCTCTGACTACATACAGTACATTAGTATAATTTTACAAGATTTGTAGGTAGCTACATACCTTGAGGCTTCTTTAATAACATTCTGTAAAAATATCAGTCGTGTTTGTAAACTGCCTTGTACGTGCTTCAGTAAAAAGAAGATTCTTTCATATTCTTAAAAAATAAAGTTAAAAAGTTAATTAGAAGAAACCTACACAGATACATCTGTTGCAACACCCTGCTTTATGAGCATAATTGTAAGCTTCATTCAGCTTTTGTACAGCTTAAGTAATAGTACTGTATTTGTACTACGTAGGCAAGTAAACATATAGGTTACCTACCTGTAACTGAAGATTCTTCAAAATGTGTAGTCCCTATCTGCATTCCACATGTACGATGATACACGTGCTTGAGTCCAGAATTTTTTTTGCGAACAGCATCCATTGGCTGCACATGTGCCATAGCTCTCCTCCTGCTCTGAACAGAGAGCATAAAAAGTGGTGCAGGCAGACACCTCTCCAGTTTCCCATTTTTACCACAGTTCAAACAATCCGCTGCAGAGGGGACGGAGGACGGGAAGTGAATACAGACCGGGACCACACATCTCAAAGAACTCCCGTTACAGATAAGTAACCTCCATTTCTTCTTTGAGTGATAGTCCCTATGTGTTCTCCACACAAGGGTGATTAACAAGCAGTAGTCAGATGGGGGTTGGGGCAAGGATGCAGCAGTGATAGCTGACTGTAGTACTACTGTCCTCACAGCAATAACTGCAGTTGACAACTGGACCAGAGCATAATCTCATTAAGGTATGCAAATAGCTCCACATAACTGCCCTAGATATCCCTTGGATGGATACGTCTCTCAGTGACGCAGCCGAAGTAGCTTGCCCTCTAGTGGATACAGGTGCCTGAACTAGGGGTGCTGCTGCACCCCCGGCTTGAAGTGGTTTCCATCATATACAGGGTTTACAGTTTGGTTCAATGGCTCTCAGTACCCCCACTATACGAATTGTTCTAGCACCCCTGCTAGCGGAATGAGCACTCACACCCTCTCCAAAGGGGGATATTAGCTAGTTGATAACAAAGGGTAATACAAACAACCCAAGATCCATTTTGAAAGAGTCTGCACCAATATAGCTTGATCCCTTGATCGCTCTGCTATGGAAACGAATAGTTCAGGTGTTTTTCCAACATCCTTTTTTCTTTGAAGATAAAAGCCCAAAGCCCTTCAGACATCTAAAGAATGCAGCTGTCTCTTCATCTGAGGCATGCAATTTTGGAAAAAATACTGATAAGTGGATTTCCTGGCTCATGTGAAACTTGGAAACTACTTTAGGAACAAATCTAGAGCGGAGTTGTAATGAGATCTTTTCTTTAAACAAGGAAGTATGTGGTGGGTCTGCCACAGTGCTCCCAGTTCACCGACTCTTCTGGCTGATGTTATGGCTATAGAAAGGCCACCTTCATGGACAGATGGGCCATTGCACATGTGGCTAGAAGCTCAAAGGACGGGGGGGGGGGAGGGAGAAGTTAGTGAGCGACAATAAAACAAAATTGACGTCCATTGAGGTACGAACTTCACCAATGGTGGAAAGGATCCAAGAATCCCCTTTAGAAATCTAGCTGTGACAGGATAAGTGAATCTTCCTTAGAACTTTTGGTATCAATGGGTTGGGACAGATGGATGAGGATGACCCCAATAGGGCATCTCCCATCAAGCCTTTACCCAGGGCTGCTCTGGAGCAGTACCAAGGAAGGTTCCTGTTCTCCCGTGAGGCAAAAAGATCCCAGGCCGGTGTTCCCCACTGGGCAAAGTTATCATCAAGAACCAAGCTGTGACTCTCCCATTTGTGATTTGTGGAAAAATGTCTATTCAGGCAGTCTGCTATGGAGTTTTGCATGACTGGTAAATATGCTGCTGGCAAGGTTATGCTATGATTGATGGACCAACTACAGAGGGCCACTGCCTCTCTCTGCACAGAGAGGGACAAATCTTGCTTCCCCCTGCTTATTTATATAAAATACTGTTGTCACATTGTCCGACACTGTTTGCACGTCTGGACTGGATGAGTGGGAGGAAGGTATCACAGACTTGATGGACCACCTGGAGTTCTAATAAATTGATATGCATTCTGGACTTTTGTAGAGTCCATGTCTTGTGCCATATGATAGCCCATGTGATCACCCCAATTCAAGAGGGTAGCATCCATAATGATGGTTGCCTTGGGAGTCAGATTGAGGAAAGGAATCCCCACACAAATGTTCTCCAGTGTTGTTCACCAGATGAGTGTATCTAAAACTTTGGGCAGAATTGTCACATTACCATTTATATTGCCCTTCTCTACTGAGTACACGGAGAGAAGCCAGGCCTGTTGGCAGTGAAGCAGAAGCCTGGAAAACAGCATCAAGTGTGCGCATGAGGCCACATGGCAGAGTAGGGAAAGGCAAGTTCTGATGAATGTCCTGTGTCTGATCGCGAACCTAAGAACAGCCATACTGAGTCAGATCAATGGTCCATCCAGCCCACTATCCTGTCTTCCAACAGTGGCCAATGCCAGATGCTTCAGAGGGAATGAACAGAACAGAGCAATTATCAAGTGAGCCATCCTGTCATCCAGTCCCAGCACCTAGCAATAAGAAGCTTATGGACGCCCAGAACATAGGATTGCATCCCTACCTATCTTGGCTAATAGCCATTAATGAACCTATCCTCCAAGAACTCATCTCATTCTTTTTTGAACCCTGTTATAGTTTTGGCCTTCACCTGGCATCTCATCTTCTGGCAACAATCCCACGGATTGACTGAGTGCTGTGTGAAGAAGTACTTCCTTTTCTTTGTCTGAAACTTGCTGCCTATTAATTTCATTGGGAAACATTTATTTCTTTTGTTATGTGAAGGGATAAATAACACTTCTGTATTCACTTTCTTCACACAATTCATGATTTTATAGACTTCTATCATATCCCCCCCAATCCTCTCTTTTCCTAGCTGATAGTCCCAAATCTTTTTAATCTCTCCTCATACGGAAGCTGTTCCATAGTCTTTATCATTTTTGTTGCCCTTCTCTGTACCTTTTCAATTTCTAATACATCTTTTCTGAGATGAGGCAACAACAGTATTCAAGGTGTGGATTTATATAGCAGTAGTATGCTGTTTATTATCTTATCTATCCCTTTCCTAATAGTTCCTAACATTGTTAGCTTTTTTGACTGCTGCTGCACATTAAGCAGATATTTTCAGAGAACTATCCACAATGACTCCGAGATCTTTCTTGAGTCGTAAAAGCCAATTTAAATACCATCATTTTATATATATAGTTGGAATTATGTTTTTCAATGTGCATTACTTTGCATCTATCAACACTGAATTTCATTTGTCATTACCCAGTCACCAAGGTTTGTGAGATCCTTTAACTCGTCACAGTCTGCCTTGGACTCAACTATTTTTAGTAATTTTGTATTGTTTGCAAATTTTGCCACTTCATTATTTACCCCCTTTTCCAGATCATTTATGGATATGCTGAACAGCACTGGTCCCCATACAGATCCTTAGGCAAGAGTGCTATTTACACCACTCTCCATTCTGAAAACTAACCATTTATTTCTATGCTTTGTTTCCTGTCTTTGAACTAATTACTGATCCATGAGAGGACTTTCCCTCTCATCTTAGGACTGATAACTTTAAGAGCCTTTACAGGGCTTTCTAAAAGTCCAAGTCCACTATATTCACTGGATCACGCTAATCCACATGTTTGTTGACCCCCTCAAAGAATTCAAATAGATTGGTGAGGTATGATTTCCCTTTACAAAATCTGTGTTGACTCTTCAACAAATAGTGCTCTTCTATGTGTCTGATAATACTGTTCTTTACTATAGTTTCAACCAATTTTCCTGGTACTAGAAGTTAGGCTTACTGGCCTGTAATTTGCCAGGATGCCTCTGTAGCCTTTGTTAAAAATTGGCATCATATTAGCTATTCTCCAGTCATTTGATACAGAAGCTGATTTAAGTGATAGGTTACATACCCAGTTAATGAGTCTGCAATTTCTTATTTGATTTCCATTAGACCTCTTGGGTGAATACTATCTGGTTTGGTGACTTATTACTTATTACTGTTTTTATTTATCAATTTGTTCCAAAACCACCTCTACTGACACCTCAATCTGGGACAGGTTCCTAAGATTTATCATCTAAAAAGAATGGCTCAGGTGTGGACATTTCCCTCACATTCTCTGCAATGAAGACCAATACAAAGTATTCATTTAGGTTCTTTTCAATGGTCTTGTCTTCCTTGAATGATCCTTTAGCACCTCAACTGATTGACCTTATATATGAAAGTGCTCATGGCATGAAACCTCTTGAGGTAGATATGCTCTTGCTGTGATCAAGTCCAATCTCTCCACTATAAAATTGATGAACCTAGTGGGGATCGACAGATCTTCTGTGATTGATGCAGACACCCAGGGAAGGCAGAAGACTGAACAGAACCACTGGACTTCCTCATAGGAACTGTCCATCAGAAGCCAATCGTCAACATAAGGGATGACTGTAAATCTCTCTCTTCTCATCCACGTTACCACTACTGAAAAAAACATTTGTAAAGATGTTAGGTGTTGCAGCTAGATCAAAGGGGAGGACTCTGAATTAGTAATGTTCTTGACCAAAGAAGAATCTCCTGTGGGTGGGTGGATGTCTACGTGCAAATGTGTGTCTCAGGTCAAGAGCCATGAATCACGTGTCCTCCTCTAACAAGGGAAATACTGATGCCAAGGATATCGTGTGGAATTTTAGTTTTTGAATGAACCTGTTCAGTTGTCTCAAATTAAGAACTGACCTCTATCCCCTAACCTTGCTGGGGAATAAAGGGAATAGAATCCCTTCCTTTGAGGTTGAGGTGGAACCCTATCTATGGCTCCCCTGAGGACAAGGAAATTTGCCTCTTGTCATAGAATCTCCTTGTGAAAGTGGTCCGAGAAAAGGGTCTGTGGGTAGGAGGTTAAGAAGCTCAATCAGATAACCACCCTGAATAATCTTTAATACCCATTTGTCTGTAGTTAGGGCCCTCCAGTTTTTTGGCAAATTGGGTAAGGCGGCCTCTGAATATCAGAGGAAGGGAATGAAGCCGCATCAGTAAAGGCACATGGGTCCTGTCAAAAGAAATCTTCATTAGGGGATTAGAGTATAACATGGCCGTGGATGCTGCAGAGGCTAGGCTCCTAGGTATATAAACTTTCAGTCTCTTGTGTGGTGGCTCCTGGTGTTGGTGGCAAAACAGCTGAGGAGGAGGCCTTGCCCTATACCCATGTCTATAGTGTTTTCTCTTAGGGGCAGGAGTATAAATGCTCAGCAAATGAAGCGTTATCCTTGAGTCTTTGAGGGAGTGGAGAGACTCATCCGCCTTCTCGTGGAGGAGGTGGATAGTACTGAAGGGGAGATCTTGGATGGTACTCTGCACCTCTCTATGGAAACCAGAGGATTGTAACCACAAGTCTCTCCTCATAACACATCTGTAAGCCATTCTCCTAGATGCAATATTTACTGCACCCACCACAGCTTGGAGGAAAGCTCTGGCCACCAATCTGCCCCCACTCACTAAGGCCTAGAATTAGGCACCCCTCAGGGAGCTGGTCCTTAAATTCCAAAAAATTATAATTAGTAAAAATCATATTTGGACAAGAGGGCCTGATCATCTGAGATCGTGAACTGGAGAGAGGTGGAAGAGAAGACCTTTCTCCCTAGAAGGTTGAGTCACTTGTGTCCCCTTTCAGAGGAGTAGCCTTTGGGTGCTGTTGCTTGGGCTGCTCTGTAGCTGCCTAAACCACCGAAGAGTTTAGCAGTGGGTGAGAGAACAAAAACTCCCCCGGAGATGGAACAAAGTAGTGCTTCTCAGCGCTGTTAAAGGTGGGAGCACAAGAAGCAGGAGTGTGCCAACTATCTGTACTTGCTCCATGATGGCCTTGTTTATGAGGAGGGCCACTCAACTGGGACCGGAAGGCTGCAGAATGTTTAGAAAAATATGCTGAGGCTCCAGGACTTCCTGAAGCTGAATTTATAGCTCTGCAGCCACCCTGGGCACGAGCTCTTGATATTATTTCAGGTCATCTGGCAGAGACGGAGAAAATGGAGTAAACGCCTCATCCAGTGAAGACAACAAGGTTTCTCCCAAAACTGTATGATCCTCCTCAGTCTCCCCTTCCAAATATTCCAACAGGGCCAGTTGTGGGTGTCTAGGTGATGACAAATAGGACTCCTGCACCAATCCTGGGTGTCTAGGGTAGGGATCCCACACTCTTCACAGTAGGATGGATCAACTGGCAGAGGAGGACCCTATGGCGTAGGTTTATCACCTGTTTCTTGGCCAATTGTCTGAGGTTGGAATCCTGATCTTGTGTCTCTCCTGTCTAGTGCCACCTCCACCCAATGCTGCACAGACTCCTGTGGAGACTCAAATTCATCCAAAGAAAAAGCCTGATTCCTTATCTTGTGCAGAACAGTACCAATGGCTGTGCCTCGAGGCTGCCAGGTGGGATGGGAGAACAACTCTGCCTCATTGGGATAGGCTCTTCCTCTGGAGTATCAACATCCCAGAATAGAGATGGAACCAATAGGAGGAATGAATGAGATACAGAAGAGCAAAGATGTCCTCCGGGAAACGTAGAGAACAGCCCATTGGCAGAGCTGTCAGAACTGGAGCTTCCCTGGGTCACTGTGGCAGTCGGCTCCCTCTGGGGCCACATTGCTACTGGTATTGCATCAGCTATAGAAATGGAAGGGAGCACCAGAAGCTGTTCATCCCGAGCCTTCACCATCAGACCCGATATTTGAACCATCAGATCCATATCTTTATACCCTTCCTTCTCCTGTTGAGAAGATTTACTCAGGCCTAAATTCTTAGCACCCGCTTGCACCAACTCTCCTGACTGACTGGATTGGGGAGGGATCCTCTCTCTTCAGGGAAGTTTTCGACAAAGATGACATGTCCTTATATCTATGATAGTGCCCTTTGCTGTCATGTGAAGCCTTCTCCTCAGACTTAATTGTCTTAGCCTCCATTCTTGAGCTTGTGCTTGAAGGGGCGCTGTCTACTTGGTGAAATGAGGTATGGGGAGGTCCCCAGCCTGCATGTGACTGGGTCTTCTCAACTTCTCCATGAGATATTTTCTGAATGTCAATTCCTGACCCTCATGAATTCGGGGTGGGGTGGGGGAAAGCGGCCACTGCTGCACTTGGCAGAAATATGAGCCTCACCCAGGCAGCAGAGGCAACGTTGTTAGTTGCTCACCAAAAAAGAATGAGCGCAGGAAACTGTTTTTGAACCCTGGAACCATGGACATTCTCAGGGTGAAAAAGTCACCGGGTGGGGAAGAAAATGGGAAAAAAACACCATTTAACTATACTATGTAGACTATTTAAACTAACTATACACAATACCTTACAGCAATGACAGTAAAAAAAAAGGAGCTGAGGACACCAAAGATTCTGACTCGGAGCTTGCGGCAGTAAGAAAGAACTGGAAAGGTGTTGGCCCACACCACCTTTTATGCCCTCGCTTCAGTGCACGAGGAGCACTATGGCGCATGTAGAGGCCAATGGACACTGCTTGTAAAAAAAAATTCCAGACTCAAGCTCATGGTGCACATGCTTATCCCACGTGTGGAATACACATAGGGACCATCACTCGAAGAAAAATTAAAAGTTATTTGTCAACTTTAATGTAAAAACCAAATGTACTAAATCTAGGCTACTGTCAAAGTAGGTAAGTACAAAATCTGAAGAATATAAACAGATGGATTTAATCCTATTCCACCCACGCATTCAGGAAAGTATGAAAGAAAACAGATTTTCAAACTTTCTAAAGAGGCCTTATAAACTTTGAATTAAAAGGATTTCCTCTCTACTACACATAGGGTTTTCTCTTCTCTTATTTTTACTTCTGCTAGTAATCACAGATATCTATTACAATTCTTGCATGACTCAGTATCTTACAAAATACAATGATGTAATCTAAATATTTCAATCGAGTCTAGTTGTCTCTCCAATCATCTGGATACAAAGATAGTGGTTTGCAGTTCTTATACTTACTTCTTCCCGGCTTTCTAATCTCCTTCATAATTTGTGCTTTTAGTTCTATATTAACCTCTCTCGCACTTCTGGAATGTATCACTTTTTTCCCTTTGTTGGGCGAAGATGCTGGCAAGTTTTCTTGAGTACTTCGCTCTTTACCACCCGACTCTTCATTTTTCATAAATTCATCGATGTTAAGGTTATTAATTCCTAAATGTTCATGGCCTAGATCCTCTGAATGAGTTGTTGGTCCATCCAATGAATTGAATGGAGAAGGGGACACTGAAAAGTCAGAATCCATAGCATTTGGAAAAACATCTGATGAAAGTGGGTCTGCAACATGATTCTCAATCACATCATCCGCTGCAATCTCGTTATTGGTTTCTGAAGCTGAAAAATAAAGACTATGAAGAGGAACAAACTGGCAAGCATGCATTAAAAACCATCAAAATCATACATGATTTGGTACTGGGTAATCTAGTCTTGTGCCGTCATGTTGCAGCAGGTAGGTTTAGAGGAAGGTAAGAGATACTTCTGCAACATCGGGGAGTCAGAAGATGATGTTGCTGGTGGCACAGAACACCCTGGAATGTCCATTGAGGGGTGGTGGTCTATCAATACAGGGAAGCATTCTTTATAAGGAAAAGGGAAGAGTTACACAGACTAGCAACAAAGCAAGAAGTCAAATGAACAGAAGATAAAGGGTGTTTCTGTGAGGAATTACTTACCTGGTCCCATTAAGATTAATGGAAAAAATTCACTTCAGTGCAGAAGGGCTGGCTCAAGGCCCTATGCAACACACAGGCCCACATTAAAGGAATAAGTTAACTCTTCACTGGAGTGAAGCTCACCAGATAAGCTTGTGTGTTGCAATATTTTGGAGTGACTCAGATCAAAGAGATTGTACTCACTAATATATCAGAGATCAGTGAGACCCACTTAAAGGGATATACCAGCCTTGCTCTTTTACTTTATTCACTGTATTAAAAGAGAAGAGGGGAAACAAACTCTTTGTACTGGGAAGGTTCCTAAATTTTGTTATAAGAAAGTATATCCCAGTACTTCTGACTATACATGTGATTCAACTGTAATCTGCCCTGGTGTCAATTCCCACAGAAGAGTAAATATCCAGAGGATTGTTAACTACATGCTTATCTGTAATATTGTCCTACCTCCGAGAAGTAAGGAAATTACTGCAAACATCCAAATTAAAATGCAATTTGTTCTGTATTTTACCAACGAACTGGAAAAGCAAACAACCAACAATTGTTAAAAATGTATTCTATTTTACCATATGAAAAAGTGTGTGTGTGCGCGTGCGTGTGTGCGCGCGTGTGTGTCTCTATACCAGAAGTCCAAAGATTATTCCAGGCCAGGTTAAGTCTTCCTCCTGGGAAAAAGTCACACCACAAAAGAAGATTGACTCTAGTTTTTCAGACAGCCTGTCTTTCCGAGGGACAATCTGAGCCTGCAAAAACTGAACTCTTCGGCCCATCTACAGGAAGAAATCTTACTAAATCCGCTACATACCTAACTTGAGTCTGCAAATCAGTCATATATTTTGCCATCTAAATAGTAAGATTAATACGACAGTTAGTTGCAAGCACAAAATTACATCTGCAAGAAGTGAGGCCAGGCTGAGATTCAGCTACAAATCAGGCGCTGGCTATTACTTTTGCATGTCTACTTGAATGTCTTATAGCAGTATCTAATTTTAAGTGTGGTCTTATTGAATTAATAGATTCCAGTGTTACAAGGGGAAAGATTATGAGCCGAAAATAAGAGAATGCAAACACCACTTGAATACAAAATTTGGAATTAAAAAATTCAGTGACTAACACAAGATGGAAGGTTTTAAATGTTCCATGGTGCACGGCAGCTGGGGAATCTTAAAGACACCATAATTAAAACAAGCTACAATTCCTCTGAAATTGAAGAATATAAGGATTAACCAACTGATTTCACAAGGGTCTGCTTAATACATGAAGTCAAATGACAGAAGGAAACCAAACTAGAATATTAAATTAGTAACATATGAAAAAATATGGGGCACACGAAAATGAGTTAAAATGCTAGTTAAAAAACCTAAGGGGAAAGTAAAAAGCTTTTGCATACTGCTAAGAAAAGAGTGCTAGAAAAAAGTAGGTCTATTTGTAAGAAAGGAGTTAAATGTAATGACTGAAATACCAAACTCCTTTTTTAAACTCTTCATCTATACAGGGATACCACATCACAGACCAGGAAGAGAAGGACCCCTCTACTTATCTCTGGTGCAAATGAACCTGAAATGTTAATTTAATACGTTCACTTTCTTATTACAAAAATGCTGAGGAAGAAAAGAGCAACAGAAATAATTAGAGGCTCAAAAGATTTATGGAGGAAAATATAAATCCTCAATATAAAGAGTACATGTAGATAATCAACAAATATGACAAGTCTACAAATATGAAATCCTCCCCCCTATTCTGCCCCCTCATAGATTTGCTGGGAGGGTAACTTCTATAAATTTCACTGATGTTTATTTTACTTACTATAAAGTTACAATCAATTTATGTATCACTAAATCCTAAAATGTATGTATGTGGAACAATTAAAGGGCATAGAACAAGTACCTTTGTCTACATTGTATAATACTTTCCCTTGTACACATCAAGGTAGTTTTAGTATTAGAAAGTGGTGTTTCAATGGCAGATTATAAAGATTTCTGAAATTTAACTTTGCTTTGAAATTACAAAAGAATGGCAGAGGTGTGTCACCTCTGAGGTGCCAAATACACAAAGTAATTGGATAATTAAGGCTGAACATTTACATACTGATGTTTTGGAACTGGATATTCAAATACACGAATTTGAGAAATCTACAGCATGCTTACTTTTTTGATGACCAACTAAAACATTCTTTTGTATAAAGAGTAAAGCGAATTACCTGAAGAGGAACCAAATGAAGGCAACAGGAAAAATTAACTGAAATAGAGTTACACTTACTTTTGTGAATAGGAATAGGTTTAACAAGATCTGGCTGTGCTTGTGTTACAGGTGTAGGTGGCCCTTTTCCTCCAACGTGATTGTTCATGACAGGAGGAGTCTGTGGCCGGCCTCTGAGAAGGGGTGACATACACCGACGTCTTTTAGGAATCCCTTGCATATTTGGTTCTCCGGGTCGTTTGTGTTTATTTTGAGGCCCTGATACAAATTCATCTGCCTCATCTATCATCATTCCCTGTAACAAATAAATCTGTTTTTTAAAAAAGCTCTCTTAAATTTGTGTTATCTTGCACAGCAAGTTTAACAAAAAACATATCCAACAATTTCCTGACTTTTGTCAGATATAAGACAATCCAATCAGGAAAATATACCACCTTGTCTTGGCTTCTCTCAAATGTCAATTAAAAAAGACCTGGGCAAATGATTTACTCTGGTAGAGATTAGGACTGATGTGTTGAAGACCACTCTATAAACAATATCCCAAGTAAGAAAGCTGACTATGGTTACACAATTTGCCTGTAAAACATGACCTCTAAACCGGAGTCAGACGCGAGGTAATTTTTAGTCAGTTAAATATTCAACTATCTTGGTACTTCACTGAAGTCAAGTCAAAGGCCTAGATTTGTGAGGGATTGAGAATCCATGTCCTTGGGCTAGTGGAAAACTAGAGAAGCCATCAAGTTAATGCAAGCTTTTTGCTAAGGAAGGGTTTAATAAAAAGGGGCGGGGGGGGGAAGGGTAAAGTGTTGGCAATTTCACAACATATGAATATTTCATACTAAAAAATGCAGAGGTTTCGTAAGTGATTTCTAATCAAGTCTGCCCCTCCATGAAAAAATAGGTGGCCTAAAAAGAGTTGAGTAAATTTCCTAAGAAATATAATGGCCTTCTTTTCCTATGCACTTGGATGGCTTCTAGTTAGCAACACATACAAATGCTGTAACACTAGTATTACACAAAATGAGTATTACAGAGAAATTACCTTCTTGTCCAATTTAAATGGATTACCAAATGTATGTAGCCTTCGGGGTTGATCAGGGTCAAGCTCTCGAAGAGGAGATGGTATCTGTTTTAGGTACTCCTGATAATTTCCCATTTGTGCTATTGGTACACTGTGAACTTGATCTATTGGAATTGAAGATAGTTTTTATCAAAAGGCTATGCCTATAGAAACAGTATGACACTGTTTTTTCAGGATTTAATTCTGGCTGTATTTCACACATCCAGTTTTCATATTATCCCACCTTTTTGATCAGGATATAGCAACATAGAAGTATACAGAAATAGATGCTCAAAACCCATCTTCCTCCCTACCAACATAATAATTAAAATATTTAATATACTACTTCACATACTGTGGAAGGCTTGCCTGGGGTTGAAGAAATCAATGTATGTAATATGTGTATTGATCATCTCACCCTAGAAATGAGTAATAGCCTCCTGGGTACAGTTTTTGTTTTTCCAACATGATACACAATTCTTTTTGGATAGGATAGGTGGAGGGAAAGGAATGGAGACCATCTGAATGCATTAATTGTAAAATGCACTGAGGCTATTACTACACTGATGTATGAAATTATTATGTAATATTCCACCTTACATGCTACTCTGAACTATGATTACACAAAAATCCCCTTCCTAACTGCCAAAAACATGAAGACATTTTATTAATTAGAAGTAAAACACCAACAACTTGAGAAATGTCCTTTCTAATATTGTCAGCAAGGTACAAGATGCTTGTAATCTTGTACACACTGAAAACAAAATTCAGCATTTTCTTAAGAGCCCTTGTGATTCAGGTCCTCAATGTGTTCTTGACCGCACAACGTGTCAAAATTCACCCATCAATCCTTTGCTCAGCAAGGAGGTAGGTTGGGTAGCAGATTACATTAGAATTAATGCCAGTTGTAATACGGACATCTCTCCAGGAACTGGACACAACTTTTTTTAATAGTCATTGGATGGTAGTGGCATTCTATCACTACTTAGGCCAGACTAATATTCGTAATCTAGAAATGTTGTTAGAAGTCCTATTTTTTCTTGTCTTTTTCCTTTTTCTCGGTCTATTCTTATTTCATTCTTTCCATTATTGTCTTCTACTCATCAGGTGCCACAGTGTAATGAAGCACTTTAACTGCAGAGTACTCAGAGTACTTCTCCTCTTGAGCTCTTCTACTACTACTGTCATTTATGACTAGCACAGGTTATTGTATTGCCTGCTGAAAGTCACCACAGAGGGAAAAAACTGAATTAGCATGGAGACAACTACTCTCTCACCAAGAGAGGTGCACCTTTCAGGCAAGGGTGAGGCAAGTTGGCAGGATGTGAGGGGGAAGCTTGCTCTGCCAATGCCTATTATGTACTTATTATATGGACAGAGGACTTCAGTGTCCAGGACTGTCCAGAAGATATTTGTCCTTTGATATACCCACAAAAAAAGTGGAAAAAGTGAAACAAAAACAAACAGAATCAAAAGCTGAAGAAAACAAGACTGTTCTTAAGACAAGGACAGTCAAAGAAATTAAATGGAAGATACAAGTTTTGTCTTCCATGAGCCACTGGAACATGTCTAACTTATAATAAAGATGTGGTGGAAAAGCCCAAGAAAAGCCACTGGGGTTCATGTGCAATAGCAGCAATCTTAGAATAAGTTTATTTCAGAAAGAAAACCTCCCAACTAAGCATCTATTGAAGAAGGTGCAACTTTTCTCCAAGCACACTATACAAAGTTATGATAATAGTACTAACTACTATACATATTAAGATATGCAAACAATAAACAAAGTAATCTAACCTTCATCTTGTCCTTTGAGAAACTTGCGAGTTATCTTCATAAGATTAGACCTCATTCTTGTTAAGTGATCCAAAAGATTCCTTCTGGGTATATCATAAGCATTTCTAAAGGTCTGAGGTTTCAATTCCTACAGTTGCAGCAATATAATAAAGCTTTGATTAATACTACATATGAAATAACATCTAATACTTCAATGGAAGTGTATTGAAAATAACAACATTACACATAATGGTGCTTACCTTATTCAGCAAAGCTATTTGGAACCCAGCATACTCCTTCATATTGAGGTCTAGAAGTCTATGAGGAATTTCCCCAGTAATCCCCTGTAGCAGTTGTTGAAAATCGTTCCTATGTGCCATAGACAGGTTGTGTGATCTGCTTCTGACCTTAATTCCAGTCTCTTGCGCTACCTTTTTGCCTACAGAGCCAATGACTCTATCGGACTCTACTTTGGCCTTAATTTGAAATAAATAAATAAATAAAATTGACAATATACTCTTAAAAGGATTAGTCAGAATATGAAATTAATTCCTAATTCTTACTTAGAAGATTCGGCAATGTGCTAATACAGTATAAAAAATATAATGTGGATGAGTGTTTAAGGTGGTTTGCTAAATGTACTATTACTACAATTCTAAATCATTAGAATATGGTAAACAGTTTTTGTGTCTAGCTTTTTCAGGTATTTCTAGGGTGCCCATTATCATAGTATCTAAGCACCAATATGCATGCAATGCTTTTATTTTCATAAAAATGCCTTGATTACGATTATTGGAAAACTGTGCCAGAATTTCTGCATGTGCTCATGGATTTCACTTTTCTCTGTGAAAAAAGCTGAAGTCTTATGAGAATTCTCACAAAATAACTTCTCATTTAACTGTATTTATTATGGACTCATATGATGGTATCAATTTCTTTTTTTTTAAAAAAGTCAATAGAAGATAGGAAAAGAACCTGAGATTAAAGCAAGGAAGAGACAGTTCAACTCCAACAAAATAAGGGAACACACAGCAATCTTTTGATTCTTCCTCCATTTGGCAGACAATCCACCACAGCCAGTAATTTTTCACCTGCCAAGTATGTCCCAAAATCGAATGTACTCTAAAATGCATCACTAGTAGTTTGGTAGAATACAGCTGAACAATAAGCCAAAAATCATTTGAGAACTTCTGACTGTCATACAATGTTTATTCAGAGATTGCACTTGAGAAGTTCCTTCCACACTGAAAGTTCAAATGTTATTTCCCATTTTAAGAACAGAACTCTCTTAAATTGGTAGAATCTTTCAAAAGGAACCAAAGATTTTGAGGATTACTGCATACTCTAATGTAGGTATAACATACTGTAGAACAATGTATTTTATGTATTTTGAGCCAAAAATGTATAAATATACAGATTTATAGATTTTACTCAAAAATCTGCATAATGACCACACAATTTGGTAAGATTCATCAAATATTTCCACAGGCTATAGCTAGGAGTTTAAAAAATAAGATTTATATTGAGGGCTTTTAAACTATGAAATTTTAACATACAAAGTCATTAATATTTGCATCTCTACATCCTTTTGTGTCAAAGCTACTCAATTTTGTGATTATACAAAAAAAGTTGGAGACACACAACAAAACAGTAAGTGATAATGGGAAATCAATGGTTTTTACCTGCTAGAGCAGGAGACTAGCCAGGAGATATGGCTTCTACTCTCCACCATTGCCAGTGGCTTGGGGTGTAACCCTGTCCATTCTGTGCCAGTTTCCTCATTTTTAAGCAAGCACTTCAATAGGGATGAAAGGCACTGTTTACTATGTTTTATATTTAGCTAATGCCATTCATCTTTCATGGTCCTGAAGCACTTCAAAAACTATGGGCCAAATAGGAAAGAAGGCTACATTTTGGCCCAATTACATATAGGCACAAATCCCTAATCGCATGCAAGGTGATTTTTAGCATAGAGCAGAAAGACTGTACCTTTTTAACCACAAATATATTCAAGTTGGCACATGTGAAAATGCTGCTTGCATACTATATACGTTGAGTATCAGAGAGGTAGCCGTGTTAGTCTGAATCTGTAAAAAGCAACAGAGGGTCCTGTGGCACCTTTAAGACTAACAGA